ATAGGCAGTATGTAATGGGAATTTATAATAGTATTTTCTTTTACTACAAATGGTATCATTCTAAGCCATTCAATAAAGCATTATTTTTTTCTTAAGTCATTTAAAAATGACACGCAATTTTTCAAGAAAAGTTTTATACACATTCTAGTCATAAGCAGGAAAAAGAGGGCCAGCAGGTGGCGCGGTAGTTAAGGCACTACTCCCACATTGCTGACCGTGGTTTGAGTCCTGGATCTGACAGGCTTGCTCCCTCACTTTTTTTGCCCTCTATTCTCTTTCTCTCTCTGGTGGGCACATGTGCCCTATAGCAAACTAAAAATAATAATAATAAATTAAACTAAGTTTTAAGAAAAGGAAGGAAAAAGATTGTGCATTTTAGTTTGTTATCTTGTTTTTTTTTAGATTATTGGTATGGCTAAGCTTGTACTTTATTGACTTTGATTTTTTAAGAAAAGCAAGAAGGTAATAGAACAAAGGACATAAGTTTCCTGCTCTTTATACCTGAAATGTGTGTGTGTGGTTTTTTTGTTTTTTTTTTTTTTTTAAAGAGGTTTTTGCCTCAGGGTGCATGTACTCCCCAGAGAGAGAGAGAGAGAGACACAGTAAGTGGGAAAGAGAGAAATCACCCCCTAGCGGGGAATGGCCACACTACAATGCAATCCTTCCTCCATTCTCCTCCCAGGATCTTGGGCATGCATGCACACGCACCTGGCATGATTTTTTAAGCCACAGGGTTTGGGAACCGAACTGTGGTCAGCCATGTGGGAGTCCAGTCCTTGAAATGTGTCATTTTAAGCTTGCTCTTTGTCTTGGTGGATGGAATCCAGTACAATAAGTTAAATATATAAAATGAAAAAGCGAAGTTTTACGCAAAGGAATAGACTTGATAAAATTGTACTACACTTAAAGTTTCTTTCCAGTGCTGATAGGTCAATTGTGTCACTTACTCAGCTCCATCTATAGAAAGTATAAGTTGTACCAGTGATCACTAGACAGTTTTAAACTCTGAACTTGCAAAGATTATATTGGGTTGTCTGGAAAGTCATGACACATTTTTACATAGAAAGGCAGGAAAAAAAATGACTTTTCTCACAGCCCAGTAGTTTTCAGCATTTTCCATGTGATTTGTTCCATACGGTGCTTTTCCAGACTCTTTCAGTAATAGGTGAAAATAAGCAAAGACTGAAAAAATTGAGGTCAAATAAAATAAGGCATGATCTGAAGTATTAGTATGAGAAGCTAAAGTTTCTCTTTTTTCAATAGAAGAAAAACTAAGAATACTTAATGCTAAACACTAAAATGATAACTATTGTTTAGGTTAGGGATTGGCAACTTTTTCTATGAAGGTAAACATTTCAGGCTTTATGGAACATCCAGTTTCTGTTATATAACTATCTTTTTCAATTTTCAAAATGACTTTTACAAACATCTGTATAATTCTTAGAGCTGTAGAACAAAACAGCTTTGAGCTAGGTTTTGGCAGTAGTTTGCTGACTTTTGGTGTAGGTGAAAAATACTGACTTGTACCCAGGAACCTAATTAGGATTCAGACAGAGAATATTAGCTGTGGTGAGTATGGTGTTATGAACTTGAGCATATAAATACCTGTTCAAGTTTCTGCTATCCGTTCTTTTGGGTATACACTGAAAAGTGAAATTCCTTGTTCATATGGTAGAGTTTTTTGTTTTTTTTTTTTCTTTCTTTCTTTCTGTTTTTAATTTCTTAAAGAACTGCCATACTGTTTTTCATAGTGGCTGCATCATTTCATGTTCCATCAGCATTGCACTTGGGTTCCAAGTTCTCCACATCCTTATCAACACTTGTTATTTTCTGGGTTTGTTTTTGTTCATTCATTTGGTTTTTTTTTTTGAGATAGCAACCATCAGAATGAGTGTGTATAAGGTAACAAACTAGATTTTTTTTTTAAACTTAAAAGTCTGGGGCCAGCCAGTGACGTGGTTAAGGTGATTGGATCCCACATAGCCAACTGCACAGTTTGAGTCGTAGACCCATGTTTGAAAAACATGCCAGGCACATCTGTGTGTATGCCTGAAACCCCAACAAAAGGGAGAAATGGAGAAGAGATTATTGTGTGACCATTCCCTATGATGAGTGTATTCTCATTTTCTCTTTCCTTCTTCCTCTCCAGTGAATGCATGCACCCTCTGGCAAATTTCTTTTCCTTTTTCTTTTTCTCTCTTTCCTTTTTTTTTTTGCTATATGTGTGCTTGCTGGAGACAGAGAGAAAGTGGGAAATCAACTCCTGGGGGGGCTGGCCACGCCACAGTCCCATCTCCTTCATTCTCCTCTGGGGATTTTGGGCACACACGCACATGCACCCAGCCTGAATTTAAGCCACTCGGTCCAGGACTCCAACCACAGCTTTCTACATGGGAATCCAGCAATGTAATCATTATGCAGTTTGCTATTCTCAACCCTCTGGCAAATTTTTTTAAAAAGAAAATCTGTTGGGAAATTATTCATAGTTTAGGCATAGTAAATAACCACTCACATGCAATGTTTTAGCATGCCAACAGAAGGAATAATTTGTTGGCTACCTATAACAAATGCCAAGTGTCAACAATTTTTCTGATGACATTAAATTTGATTTTTGATTGTTTTACTTTTTTTTTTTTCCCCTAGGTTTTTGCCGTAGGGCATGTACGTTGGCCAGAGAGAGAGACAGATAAAAGAGAAAACCACCCCCAAGGATGGATGAGCATGCTGCAGTTCCTTCTCCATTCTCCTCTTGGGATTTGGGCACATACACACACGTGTCCCATGTGATTTTAAAGCCACTAGGTCCAGGACTTGACAGCCATGTGGAAGTCTAGTATCTTAATCACTATACCACCTGCTGCCTCTTGAATTTGACTTTTTTTGGGGGGAGTAGAGGGGAACCAGTGGTAAAGGTTTTTGCCTTAGGGCACGTGCGCTCGCAGGAGAGAGAGAGACAGTAAAAGGAGAAGTCAAAAATCACCCCCTAGAGAGGATGAACACACATAATCACTTCCCCTCCATTCTCTTCCTAGGATCTTGGACAACACACACATGCCCAGCATGAATTTCAGGCCATAGGGTCCGGGACTTGAACTGCGGGAATCCTGTGACATAACCACTACACCAACTGCTTATTAAATTTGATTAAAATTTTTAAATAGTTTAGTAATTTTCTCCCAACATAATTGCATACTTTGAAAATCTATTTTAGAGGATTTGAAGTTTTATGTGTGTGTATACTTATCCAGGATAAACAGAGTTTTCACTGAATTCATTAATGAAGTAGTAAATATTCATAAATTCTATTAAAAGATGTAGAGGATTGGGACCAGCAGTTTAGCGTAACGGCTGTGTTGCTGGACTCCCATGTAGTCGACCACAGTTTGAGTCCCGGACCTGGTGGCTTAAACTCACACCGGGTGCGTGTGCATGCATGCCCAAGATCCCAAGAGGAGAAGGGATTGCGGCGTGACCATCTCCCCGGGGTGGGTGGTGGGGGGGTGATTTCTTGCTTTCTGTTGCTGTGTCTCTCTCTGTCTTTCTGGTGAGCACATGCGCCCTATAGCAAAAACCTCTCTGAAAAAAAAAAAAAAAAGATAGATATAGAGGATTAATGAGTACCAGTCTAGGGCCAGCAGGTAGCATGGAGATTAAGGTGCTGGTCCCACATGGTAACCGTGTGGTTCTAGTCCTGGACCCAGTGGCTTGAAAATCTCGCTGAGAGTGTGTATGTGCATGCTCAAAATCCTGAGGAGATTGGAGGAGAGGGGATTGTGACATGGCCGTCCCCCTGAGGATTGATATTTCACTTTTTCTTTCCTTCTCTCCCACTCTTGCCAAGTACATATACCCTACAGCAAAAACTAAAAATAAAACAAAAAATGCTATCAATTAACAGTTGTAGAAGAATATCTTAAGTGACAGTGGGGGCTTAAAAGTCAGACCAGGTTGAGTTGACATGTAGGTCTCTCGCTCTCTAGCTATCTAATTCTGGGCAACTGGGCTTATGTATAACGAAAAGTGATAGTGAAGATATTTAAAAATATTATGATAGGGACCAGCAGATGGCGTAATGATTTCATCGCTCATTGCTGAACTCCCACGTAGTCAACCATGGTTTGTGTCCTGGACCCGGCAGCTTTAAATTTATGCTGGGAATGTATGTGTGCATGCCCAGAATCCCAAGAGGAGAAGGGGTTGTGGCATGGCCAGCCCCTCTAGGGGGTGACTTCTCACTTTCTGTCTGTCTGTCTTTGTCTCTCTAGCAAGTACATGCACCCTATAGCAAAAATCTCTCTTAAATAAAACTGTATACACACACACACACACACACATATACATATATATATATAAATAAGAGATATTATAAAAATCTAAGAAATATAGGGAACCAGCAGTTAGCATAATGGCTCTGTTGCTAGATTACCATGTAGTTGACCGCGGTTCATGTCCCGCACTCGGTGGCTTAGAACTCACGCTGGGTGTATGTGTGTGCGTGCCCAAGATCCTGAGAGGAGAATGGAGGAGAAGGGATTGCAGTATGACCATCCCCCCGGGGGAGTGATTTCTCGCTTTCTGTCTCTATGTCTCTCTCTGTCTGTCTGGCAAGCGCACGCGCCTTATAGCAAAAACCTCTCAAAAAATAAAAAGAAAAATCTAAGAGATATAGAGATATTCTTCCATCTTTAAGACACTGTTATTTTGGGGCCTGAAGGTGGCATGGTTAAGGCACTGGACTCCTCCATGGCTGGCCATGGTTTGAGTCCTGGACCTGGCAGCTTGCTTTCTTGCTTTCCCTCTCTTTTTCTCTCTCTCTCACTCTCTTAATCTCTCGCTCTTGCTCATTCTGTCCTCTCTTGTCAAATTAAAAAATAAATAAAGGTAAAATAAAATGATTCTTCAAAAAAAAAGAAACTTAATTTTTGAAAAATTGTGTTCATAGTAGTATGGTCTTTTTAAGAACTATTTCTGTGAGTAACTGTTCTGCTTTTTATCAAAAGGTATGGGTTTGGGAAGAGGACAACAACTTGAGATCTGGTGTGAAAAAATACGGAGAGGGGAACTGGTCTAAAATACTATTACATTACAAATTCAACAACCGAACAAGTGTCATGTTAAAAGACAGATGGAGGACTATGAAGAAACTTCACCTCGCCTCGTCAGACAGTAAAGACTGAGTGTGTTCGTCAAGGCTTGACAAAAAGGACAGTTAAATATTTTGATTACTACATTTCATTTGTAACTTCATGGTCATTCACGTATCTTAAAGTTTTTGTTTAGAGCATTACAGTATTTTTCTGTGACAGTTACTGTGAGGATTTGTACTATAAGAGTAAAATTATATGCCATACTGTATTCTTTAAGAATCTTTTTATTTTGATGAAATGTAAACTTTTTGAACACTGCCACATTCAGTAACCCTGCCCTCAAATTCTATTTCAATAAAAAAAAGTAAAACCTTAGAGAGAAAGAAAATATTTCTGTTAACCTATTCTGTGTCTATTGGCTAATCACCTCGACCCAACACTAACTCACACACGAACAATTTTAAATAATTTACTCCTTCAATAGATAATGACTTGGTATGTGGCCTTCATGGACAGCATAATTGCAAAGATGTTTTTAATAGGGTGATGAATGTACAGAATAATTTATAAGTTAACATACTTAAGTTTTTATTTCAGTGGTTTCATATAAAGTAACAAACTTGAAAATAATCCCATAGGAAAAAATTTGTATTATTAGCAAGAATAGTTTTGTGTGTCATTTAAGAATAATCTGACTTCTATTCTAGTATTAAACTTGAACAAAAATAGTTTTGAGTGAATCTTCTTATAACTTTATGACATAAATACCATGTTTTCTGATACTTTCTTTTAATAATCAGTATTGAGTCTAAGTAGTATTCTGTAAATGCTTAAATTGATATTAACCACGATCATCTTGACAACTGTGATAAAAAAGACCTTACATTCCTTACTAAACAATTTTGGTTTTTACTACTTTATTCTTTAGAAGATTTAGTCAAAAACGAATAACTTTTTAGCATTTTTGAGTTACATGTGCTTTATTTAGCAAGTAAGTGAAAATAATGAAATACTGATAAATTTGCACAAAGAATCAAATGTGTAGTATTCTGTAATCTCTATTCTGTTTCCTACTAAAATTGAATGTTACTTTTCCATTCTTCCCAAATTTTTAATTCTGTATATATAGTAAACAAATATGGATAATTACAGTATGCTTCTTGATTCAGTCTCTCTTTTTTATACCATTAAAAACTGTTGCTGTTTATTGTTCACTCTAAGCCTGTACTGATCTTTAGGTTCTAGAGCAGGTGGTAAAGGCTAAGGCAGAGCTGGGGGTAGCCTGCCTAAATGTTGAAGAAGTGTCATAACTCAGAGCCAATCTACAAAGCCTGGGAGGGTGGTTTGTTTTTTTGGACTGTGACACTTGAGGGAATTAAGTAAAATGTTGTATGTGTTCTTCGCCATCTTTTCATTCAGTATGTTTGTACAATACAAATTGTAGCTTGTTTATTTTCATTTCTACCCCATGATCCATTATATGAGTATATCACAATTATTATCTTATCACTTGTGAAAATAGTCAAAGACCATCCAGAAATGAAAACAGTCTTTATCCAGAGCTTGTTATAACAAGGGAGACAGCCACCATCACTCATGATTGGCAGAGGCTCAAAGGCAGAGGTTTATAGTGGAATAAACAAAGATGGGTTCGGGGAACTTTAGGAGTGCTCTGTTGGAAGCTGACATAGGGTGCAGGAGGCTGACCAACCAGCGGCATAGCAGCAGCCATCTTTATATGACTTCGTTAGGGAACATGTTTGACTTTCTCTGGTCCCAAGTTGTAAACTGGAACAAAACATTGGAATGTTGGCAATCACTGAGCAAGTCCTAACCATTTTGGTTAGGTTGATGTAGAGACTTTGGTTTGATTTCCAGAAGTGTTTGTCCTACCTAGAGCCACTTTGCTGCAGAGATTTGGGTCGGAGTTCTCTTGTCCTATAGGGTTTGCCCATTGTCCATTTATATGTTCAGTCTCAACTGTTTCTTATTTCTGGCTGCTAGGCTTTGCATTTTACATGAAACCTAATACTAGAAATAATATTAAATCATAAAAAGGCATGAATTTTAAAGTCCCTAAAGCAACCGTTTTTTAAAAAATACAGATATATAGCCAACAGATAAAATGGAATATGAAAAATTATTCAAGTAATCTAAACACAAGAAAAACAAAAGGAGGAAAACCAAAACGAAACCACAAGAACAAATAGAAAAGATTAAACGATATGTCTAAATCCAAACACCAGTAATCACATGAAATGTTATGGCCTGAGCCAGAATCTAGAACCTAACACAGCAAGGGTCAGCAAACTACAGCCTGTAGGCTAAATCTAGCCTGCTGCTTGTGTTTTGTAAATAGTCTGACTAGCACATAGCCATACCCACTCGCTCATGTTGTCTGTGCTGTGGCTAATTCTGAGATACAGAGACGGTCTTGCATGTGAAGCCTGGAATCTTTACTCTCTGGCTCTTTTCAGAAGCAGTTTTCTGAAAACCTGTATTGAATTCTAGTTTTTGTTTTTCTCCTCTAAAATTGATTGAACTTTGTTCTAGCTCAGGTTTAGGACTGAAACCTCACAGTTGGCCATGGGGGATCCAGCCGCCTTAACCACCATGCCAATGGCTTGCTTAGAACTACTTTTTTTTTAAAAGAACTTTTTTATTTATTTACTTACTTATTTTAATTTGACCAGAGAGGGTCAGAGTAAGAGAGTGAAAAAGGGAGGGGAAAGTGAGAAAGAAGCCACCAGGTCTGGGACTTGAACTGCAGTCAGCCATGTGGGAATCTAGCACCTTTAACCACGATGCCACCTGCCATCTCCTGCCTAGAACCACTTTTAAATTAAGTTAACAGATTTAATTTCCAATGCCAGCCTGGTGATCAGAATTTGCACTACAAATCAATAGTTAACTAAGCTACCTCTTAGTTAAGTTCAATAAGGCACTCTCACAATTCCTTGGGGAGAAAGGAAGTTCTTGGATTTACTTCTAATACAGTCTTCCCCTAAGAATACAGTCTTGGGACCAGCAGTTGGTATAATGGCTGTGTTGCTGGACTCCCATGTAGTCGACCGCGGTTCCCCGAGCCGGTGGCTTAAATTCATACTGGGCACGTGTGTGTGTGCCCAAGATTCCGAGAGGAGAATGGAGGAGAAGGGATTGCGGCGTGGCCATCCCCCCTCGGGTGTGTGGGGGTGTTTTCTCGCTTTCTGTCTCTCTGTCTCTCTCTTTCTGGCGAGCGCATGCACCCTATAACAAAAAAGCCTCTCCAAAAAAAGAAAAAAAAAATAGTCTTTTGGTATCCATACTTAATTATTCCTACCTCACTCTGGCCTTGGGCTCTGATTTCTGGCCCTCTTAGGAAGAGAGGACAAGAAAGGAACTAGAGTATAAAAGCCCTCCATTCTGTCCAAGGTTGAATTTAAACTTTCAAACAGAAGCTACCTCATGCTGGAACACAGCCTGCAGGTGGTGAAGGAACTGACCAGATGAGACTGCAGGTAGTGCTGATCCAGAATAGCAGCCCACCCTTACTGGAGGTTGTGGGGAGGGTGGGGAGATAGCCTGAGGGTACAGCTGGAACTCATCCATGCAGCTCCCACACCGGATAATGATGGAAGCCAGAGCATGGAGGGAACTGCCTGTCAGTATTACTCCAGACTCAATCCAGAGACCTCTGCTAATAAACCTCGACAGTTTTCATGTCAAGAGATGTTGACAGGCGACAGCAGCTGGCATGGTGGCTCGGACGCTGGACTTCCACGTGGTTGACCACAGTTTGAGCCCAAGACATGGCAGCTTGCTCTCTCACTTTTCCTTTCTCTCTGTCTCTCTAGTGAGGGCACATGACCTGTAGCAATTTAAATAATAATGATGATAGATAAAATCAAATAAAACTCATTCTTTAATTAAAGGACAAAAAGATGTTTATGGAGTCCAGCTGCTGTGCCTAGCTATCACAAAGTAAGGCAAAGAAGGGTGGATTTGGAACTGAACCCAAAAATGATAACTGGCACATAAGGTGTGTTTATTCCCCCCACCCTTTCCTATGTCAAATCATTCATATTAAAGTGTGTGTTGGGGCCAGATGGGAGTGCAGCCATAAAACATGGCTCTGCAAGGCTGGCCCACACAGAGGAGTTCCGAGTACACCGGACATGCATGTGCCATGGTCTGGGCTGCCTGCTAAGGGTGGACTGCAGTGTGAGACAGTTAGAGGTGCCGTGTTTCTCTGTCTCTCTCGTTCATGGAAGAAACAGACTGGCCAGTCCTATGGCCTAGTGGCTAAAGGAGTTGGGTCCCGCGTGGCCAACTGTGTGGTTCAAATCCTCATGCGTATGTTCCCCAAATGGCAACAGGATGGAGAAATGGAGGAGAAGGGATTATGGTGTGACCACACTCCATTGAGGGTGCTTTCTCCTTCCCCTCTGCCTCTCTGGTGAGTGCACACATCCTCTGACAACTTAGAATGAAAGAAACTTTAAAAATAAAGTCTTTAAATCTATGCTGTGTTGAAAGTGAAAAAAAATGACAATTTTCAGACACAAGAAATACTTTTTATGATTTACAGCTTTCAAAGGAAAAGAGTATTTTATGTAATTTACAGTAAATAATTATTTAAAGAGTTCATTTTTTCCCTTCCCACCTAAGTCTTTGAGGAGTTCACATCTGCTTTAGCCTTTATAACATGGTGTAGTCCTTGGCTTGGCGTGGGTTATCTCATTTCATTCTTGCAAAATCTTGAGGGCTAGGCAAAGCATTGTTAACTGCATGTCACAGGTGAGAAGTGAAGCTTCGGTTTGTTTTGTTTTTGTTTTTTATTTGTCATGGGAGCACAACCAAGTGTGCATGAGAGAGAGGCACCCTCCATAGGGTCTTGTCACACCACAATCCTTTTTTCCCAGCCCTCTAGCTCTGGATCCTGGCTGCCTAAGCGCACACCTGGCATGTTTACGAGCCAACCCCGAGATCCGTTCTGGGGGCGGCCAGATGGCTTCCAGCCTTGTAGGACACTTGCATTACTGCTACAGCACAGCAGCTGGGCCAACCTTCACTTATTTTGACTTGCCCACATCTGGTAAGCGGCAGAACTTTCATGACATTCCACAGTTAAAACTTGTCATTATTCAGGCAGAACTCTCTCTTTATTTCTTTCATGTTGATGCCTTCACCATGAAAAAAAAAATCTGTGACAAATACCAGTGGAACTCTGCAGCTGCCACAGATTGCAGAATGTATGGGAATCCCTTCAAATGCATGCACCTGTAAATTAAAGTGAGTTTGTTTGGTTTTTTTTTTTTTTTGGAGAGATTTTCACTGTACGGCGCGTGCGCTCGCCAGACAGACAGAGAGAGACATAGAGACAGAAAGCGAGAAATCACCCCCCAGGGGGATGGTCACGCCGCAATCCCTTCTCCTCCATTCTCCTCTCGGGATCTTGGGCACGCACGCACACGCACCCAGCGTAAAGTGAGTTTTTTGATGGAAGTGTATTTTCTCATTATCTCAGATCTGGTAGTCTGCTGCCGCCTGTTGGCAGTAACATCAAGCAGGTTTTCATTTCTCTAATCCCAAGCCTTTCTCTCACTACTATGTGGTTAAAACAACTACAACTTTGATGTGCTGTTATTCAAAGGAATCCTGTGATGAGTAATTTGGAAAAGCAGTAAAAATTATCTCTGTGTTATAAACTTGGAATAGGAATTAGATTAAACATGTGTTTAACACTTATTACATCCTGGGGGACTTGGAAATGTGCAATGTGGAACATTAGGTGTTGTGTGTGTGTGTGTGTGTGTGTGTGTGTGTGAAGCATACTAGGAGCCCAGAGGCAAAATCGCCTTGGTCAGCTTCCTTTCATTCCCCTTTTAAAAACCCAGTCTAGGGACCAGCAGATGGCATAGCGGTTACAGCACTGGACTCCCATATAACTGACCGTGGTTGAGTCGCAGACTGGTGGGTTGAGAATCATGCCAAGGGGCCAGCAGATGGCCTAGTAGTTGTCACTAGACTCCCACATGGCCAACCACAGTTCGAGTCCCAGACTCGGTGGCTTGAAACTCACGCTGTGTGCGTGTGTATGTGTGCCCAAAATCCCTGGAGATGAATGAAGGGATTGCAACGTGTCCATCCCCCCTGGGGGGTGATTTTTCA